GCCCTAGGAGCCTAGGATGGAGGCAGAGAGCTTCCTTCTGGGTGCTGGGACTGGCTGAGCTTCACTGCCCTAGGAGCCTGGGATGGCGGTAGGGGAGCTTCCTTCCAGTTGCTCATGCCTTGTACATTTTCTTTCACTAATAATGCTAACTTGGAACAAACGAAAGGAGAAGGGGTTGGAATTGAACACAATCAGAAGTCTTGTTTATAATTAAATTAACAGTCATGCAGTTTTCTGAATGGAATTCTGCAGATAGAGCTTGCTGCCAGAGGCACACTAGCATTCTGAGCAAACCTTTTTCACTTCACATAGATAGGTAGTAGAAGATGTTTTAAAACTGAGTCATTGAAGAGGCATGTCTGTTTCCACCAGTTAAGGGAAAGTACTATCATGAAAGTGGAATCGATATTGACACAATCCTGTCCTGTGGTTGGGGCACATAGGTTCTATCTAGCAATATCTGGTTTGTAAATAAAGAGCAACCCTGGAGATGCTCTGTGGCTGGTGAGAGTTTGTTTGCTTCAGTCAAGCAAACGATGTGACAGAATGATTTGTTAGGTATTTGTTAAATCCCTCCCACAGTAAAACCAAACCAAACCAGGCAAAGCTAGGACGAGTAAGCAAGAAGATAGAAGGCCTAATGTGCAAAGAGACATGCTCTGGCCCTTCCTCTGAAAAGTGGTGCATAGCTGCATGAGTGAAAGGTTTTCAAATTAAAATAACACTTGTAGCTCCAGAAAGGTGGACTCAGACCGAGACAGAGGTCAAAGTGTGGAAGGTACTGTAAAGATACAAGAAAGATCCCAAGGATGGATCCTTACCTCTTAACATCTTTAACAGTTTCTGAGTAAAAAAGGCATATGTTCTTGGTTACGGGTACTAAAATTGTGCTTCAGCTAAGGAAAAGCAGATGAGTACATTTCACACTGAAGTTCCTGGCAACTGGAAGGTTTTGAAAGAAAGTGGCTTGGAGTTTGTTTTCATAAATGAAATAATACCACAACCAAAGGTTCCTCCTATACATAACTCACAGTAATATCTTTTGGTAAAAATTTCTAATAGGGAAATTCCAAGACTTAGGGTGAATTTTCAAAATAAGAGCACTGTATGGGTTCAGAGTGCAAAATGAAACTTGAATGTTTTCCAATTCATATAACTGTGCAAAACAATTTAAATATCATGACCACCTCAATATGTTTATATTCTCTTATGTACACATGTACCTAAGAGGAGTGAGAACTGGTCTCCTGCTGAATACTGAGGAAGTGGGCTGGAACTCGGACCACTTGGCCATGTTCTCAGCCTTGCTGCTTATTCCTTCCTGAGCCCTCTTGATACAGAGGGGTCTGCAAAGGAAGGCCTGCTGCCAAGCAGAGTGGTTTAAAGGATTTGAAAAAACAAAGATAACTAGGCAACAGAGAATGTAAGTGGCCCTCAAAGACAAAAACACATACTATCTGGTCGTTTATAGAAAACGTTTGCTGGCTCCTGTTCCACAGAATAAAATGAGATATCTGTACCAATGAGCAGGCTACTCCAAATCTAAATTATCCTAAATTGGAGTCTAGTACAGTGCCTAACTCAATCTACACATACATACATACATGCACAATACATATATATATATGTACTTTTTTGCTGAAAAATGAAGGGATATAGCTTTATAAGAGAAAAAATTTCACAACCTCTTAAATTTCAATTAGTGTCCCATTTTCAGAATCCTAGAATATGAATATTTAATGCTTAGAATGCAGTACCTTCTGACACGGGAAACCAGTTTTAGAATCTGTTTTCCTCTGGAACATTTTTTTCCTTCTTTCGTTGAGAATTATTTTATCAATATCTGTAATAATACATAGTTTTCATTCTTAGAAATATTATTAAGAGAAATTAGATATTTTGCCTGATATTACTGCTCTCTTCTAATCTTCAAAATTCTAGCCTTTAGCTAAAAACATGTATTTCACTTTTGAAATGATTTTTTCCAGTAGCAAACAAAATGTATCTCTATCAAAGTTGTTTTGGTGTACACAGAATGTGTTATAACTTAGAAAGAGCTGGCCAGCTGAAAGAGCCCCCAAACTCATAAACCCAGCAGTGAACGAACACCCAGAGACTGACTAAAGTAGCATGTTTGACCATGTTGACTTCCTCTTGTGCCACCAGCCAGCACCTTCAGCAAGAGCATGCAGAAGTTCAGAAGGAGAGCATGCTGATTTGGGCTCCAAGTAGCCTGCTCCACTTCCTATTATAATGCAAATGTCCTTTTAACAAGTAATGGTGAAAAGAGAGATAGTATACTTGGCAAAAGGGAGATAAAACACAAAGACAGGGTGTTCCAAATATTTTGAATTCTCTGAAGGATATACTGTACTTTAGGGAAAAAACTTATCCTCAAAGAAAGGCAACAAATAAATTTCTTCCTCCAGCAAGAACTGCCCCATCTCTGGCTTCTTTCTCCCTGACAGTGTAAGAACGTCTTTCTCCAGGATGACCCATCCCCACTCCCAAAGAAGTTTCAGCTCCTTCCTGTGGTCTCCATTCTTTAAGTATCCTCCCTTACTCCTGTATGATTCTATTCTTTCATGCTTCTCAGTTGCCATTTTCATGTAGTCGCTCATATTTACACTTCAGATAGTCACTACCACTTTCTAAGACTTATGGCAAACATGGGCAAGGCCATCTTCTAAGTGTATGTTTTCTTCTATGCTTTTAGACAGTCACTAATCAGTTTACCAGTTAACACTCAAGTTTCCCATTAATTAGTTCATCTGGCAGATGTACTCGCGGTTTTATACTGCTTGAGCAACCCATCACAATCAAGTCCTGTTCTAAATGGTCCATATTTCCACAGAGTTACAGACATACTCTACAGGCATGTTTCTTTTTTTTTTCTGGTACTGGGGATCAAACTCGGAACCTTGTGCTTGCGAGGCAGGCAGGAGAACCACCTAGCTAATTCCCCAGCCCTACAGGCATATTTCTACTCACAAAAATGCACTGTCCAGAGAAGTGCACTGGACCCCACACTAATTCAGGTCACATCTAATCTGTTTCTTGGAAGTAGTGCTGGTTTCTTTTTAGTACAGGACAAATAGCTCAGATGCAAAAAACGTGATCAAAACATATATTCCAACAATTAGAATGTGCTCTCCTTGGGCCTCTGCTTCAGGTGGTCTTCTGGAAATAGCAGCACTGTCACATGAGTGAATTGTGGCATTATTCGTCTCTAGGTTGTTTGCTCCTTGTATTTCCTATAGCAATTGACAGAAATGAGAAATGCACTCACCACACCATAGGAATATGTGTCACAAGTTTCAGAGACAGGGAGACTCTGGATAACTTCTGGAGCCATCCACGGGAAAGTTCCAACCAACGACATGTGTGTGGTATGGTTATGGAACCGAGAAGCACCAAAGTCGCAGATCTGAGAACAGAGAAACCAGAATCAAGTTTCACCGTACTGACTAGTAAGAGAACTGTCAGTCATGGAATTTACACCTGAAATCAACAATTTTTTAAATTAAAAAGAAACAGATGAGAAAGGGACTAAAAGATGTTGAGAGAGAGCTGGAAGAGAGAGGAGGGGGATGTAAAAGAATTAAGGTGTGTCATGTACGGGTACCCACCACCCACAATGAATGTATTCATTATGTATCCCAGGGCCAGGGATTTAGCTCAGTGGTTTCGCTGCCTGCTGCGCAAGCGCAAGGACCCGAGTTCAATCCCTGGTGCCAAAAAAAAACCACAACAACATTATTACCCCAGACATGTACTAATAAATTAAAAAAAGAAATAGTCCTACCTTCAATACTCCATCAGCTGCTATAACAACTAAAAAAGAAAAAAAGATAAATTATGACAATCATTTAATTTGTTTGAAGTCTTATACTGAAGAAAGCATAACTTTCTTCTCCTAGCTTTTATATGGTTAACTTTCCAATTTGATATAATAAAAGGTAAATTCAAAGTGTTTATTCCATTGAGGATTTTGCAAAAGGGAGCTAACATTAAAACCAAAGCTTAAAAAAATAAATGAAAATAAAACCAAAGTTTAATTCTATGAGGTGCTGATTTAAATGACTCCTAAAATAGTTGTTTTATACAATGCATTACTGTCCGTTGAAAAAGGGAACAAAATTATTTAGGAGAACCAAATTTTTACCTGGGTCCTGCCAGTAGCAGCTAAGATGAAACTGAGGAAGTCATTATCACTATTATTGCTTACATTGTTTTTCTTCCCAACTGAAGAGTAATTTTCTTAGTGACAATATTAATTCATTCACTTATTCATACATTCATTTAACAACTATTTGCTGAGCACCATGACCAAAGCCATATATATATGCTCTGGAACAGAAAGATAAGCGAGACTGGCATTGCCCCTGTGGTCCTGAAGTTTACCATCTAACCAAAGAGACAATTAAATAAACATCTACAATAAAGTGGGATAAATATCATGATGAGAGAAAGTGAGAGTATTATAAAGTGAATGAACAGGAAATCTGAGTCTAGGGAAGTCACACGAAGTTTCCAGGGAGAAAAGATCCTTATGCTAAGAAATGAAAAGCTGAAAGATAACCAGAAAGAGGAGAGCTGGGAAGGCAGATGACAGAGTGATGCAAAAGCTCCAGAGTGATAGGAAAGGCACAGCAACTCTGGAAGGTCAGGGCTGGGCCAAGAAGAGCCCTGGTAGGAAATGGTAAGTGGAGGAATGAAGTGAGCAAGCATGCAGGGGACAGACTACATCAGAGAAGAACAGAACCGGGGGAAAGGAGAGCACTAGGCATGCAAGTGGCTGTGATCCAAGCGATGCAGATGTGGTATGAGGGCTGTGAGAAAGGACAGGAGAGAGGTGCACTGAGCCTAGAATACCTGGGATGGTAGATTAGCTGGGCTTAATGAATAGCTGGACATGGGGGGAGAAAGAGGAGGGTTCAACGATAAATAAATAAAGAGGCAATATAGTTTAATGGGTAGAACCAGAGCTCTGGACTCAAACTACCAATTCCTTTGTGTTTAATCTCTTGTGTCGGTAACTGGTATTGCCACTCGCTGAGAAAAGGAAGAATGATATGATTTTTTGAAGGAGGAGGGAGAAGACAGAAAGACTAATTTGAACAGAATACATTCTGAGATCATGTAAAATATCTATGTAGTTATATCTAACAAGTTAGATATAAAAATATCTATGTAGTTATATCTACACAGTTTTGAAGCTGAAATTTGTTTGTGTTGAGAGTTAAGTGCAGCTCTCATGGGAGGAGGAGAATAAGAGCATAAGGGAGAGGAGGCCAAGGATGGAACCCTGAAAAAATGCTTTTGGTCTTTCTTTTAAAAGTCACTTGTGGCTTGAACATGGCAGATGATCAATTTAGTGCTTAGCAGCAGCTATTAATAACTTTGATAAATGGAGAAAATAATCTTCACATGACCAAACATATAGCAATAGCCTCAAGGTAAACATTACAAATAATAAGTTATAAACTTACGAAAATACTGCTGACACTATATTCAATTGTTTTTAAAATATCTCTACTGTTTCTTCTCCTTATAAGATTAACAAATGCTTCTTTTTAAAAATAACACTATAAAAATGTATAACATAGAAAATGAAAATTGTTCCCTCTCCCAGGAAAAAAATTATAAAAACTTAGGTCTGTACTATTTCAATGTGAGTTTATGTATGTTTCTGGCAAATAACAGCACAAATTTTAACATTATATATTATTATTTAAGTGTTCATAATTATAGCATAAATAAATCTGCAATTTAATTAACCATTGTTCTTTCACAAAAGATTAAGGACATACTGAAGTCTAATAACTTTTTCAGATTAAAATTCTGCACATGAATGAAAAAATTACAGTCATGACACTGATACTTCTTACAAGATTCTAGATTACTTCCTAATGATTTAATTAGTCGACTATACATCAAATGTTGCCTGGCAGGGTGGTGCACACCTAGAATCCCAGCACTTGGGGGGCTGAGGCAGGAGGATCACTGTGAGTTCGAGGTCAGCCTGAACTACATAGTGAAATCCTGTCTCAAAAAAAAAAAAAAAAGTGTTTAGTTTCAAGAAGCCTCTGTCTAATAAGAGCCAAAGGATAAGTGATAATTTAGAAGAGGGCACAACAAATCAGCAACAGTCAACTGGCAGGATCACACTGAGGGTCCAACCTGGACTCCTCAGGAGTGGCCACCCCAACAACTTCCTTTCCTCCCTACCCTTCCATTATCTCAGCCAGACACACACCTCACGCCCCAGACTCTCGGCAGAGGTATCTGGTCTGTTCCTTGGTCCTCTTTTACTTACCAACACTACTCATTCTAAGGATCACTCTACTGACAAATACCCATTTGAGGTGCAGTGACCTAAAGGTTTTATAAAAACAAATAGTTCTTCCTCTCCTTACTGAGAATTGCTTAGGAAGTGTGGAGATAATTGATAAAAAGATTCTTTAGAAGTAGTAAACCACCATGTTTACTTTAGCAAGTTTGGCTAAAGCCTTTCTCTGATAACTCTAAAGTGATGTAATGAAAGAAGCACTCTGTTACCATTCCTACTTGAAGGTAATGTCTAATCCTGCAAGTTATTTTAAAATGCTCACTCTCCAAATTATAAAATAAGGATCATAAATAAACTGCACGAAGTACAGAAGAAGGGAAAGAAGTAAACGAAAGACTTTACTTTCCAAACTTCCAAGAATGCTGATGGGCACTACTCCAGGTCATATGGAAGTGAGTGACAAAAAAAATTTACACCATATAATTCAGAAGTAACAGGAACAAAACTCAAAATTGCTAGTATAGAGAACCATCTAAAAATAGAAGACTAAAAATACATGACTACACACTTTGACCCAGCAAAACCTCTTTTAGAAAATGATTCTAGGGAAATAATTAGAGATGTGTTGAAAAATTTGGCTGAAAGGTATTAAGTCAAACATTTCTTATCTAGGAAAAAATGTAAACAATCCAAATGTCCACACTCTGTGCTATGTTTATACAATGGAACAGTATGCAGCTTCTTCAAATAATATAGAGAATTTGATATTTATTGATAGTGAAATGATAGGATATCAGCAGTCAAACCACAAGTTACAAAGGATATGTAAAGCATGATGCTTATTTCTATAATAGGTATGTGTAATGTGTGATTAGTAAGGTTAGGGTTAGGTAAAATAAAAATATCTGGCTATATTACCGTTTCTTGACTTGAGATCTCTGTGAATCACCTTGACAGGAGCCTCCATATGTAAATAGTGCATTCCTTTTTGTAAAAGAAGAAAAAAAAGGCCTATTAATATTTTCAACATTGCACTAGTACCTTTAATATTTTTGCAAAGAATTTAATAGCAGAAACCAAGTCCATGTGTTTTATTCTTCAAGAGTTATAAAACAGAAACAGGATATGTCTACAGTAGTAACATTTACTTAAGTAAAATTTATAAGCTTTGGGCCGGGGATTTAGCTCAGTGGTTCTGGCGCCTGCCTCGCAAGCACAAGGTCCCGAGTTCGATCCCCAGTATCAAAAAAAAAACCACACACACAAAATTTATAAGCTTTAATCTCTTGGAGGATGGAATTCGACTGTGGGTAAAGCTAGCTTCTTATAATACCTAATAAGGGCATCTGAATTTTCTAGAGTCTGCATGGAAATAGCACAGTAACCAGTGGGAGAAATGCTCTGTGGCTAAGGTATTCCACTACTGCCACCTTCTACATCTGCCAAAGTCCTGCCCAAGGGGTGCAGCTCTTACTTGGATGCCCGTGATTACCTAGCTGCAGCTCCATTTATTTTCTTGGTATTCACTCCATCAAGACCCGGGATTGAAGATAGGGTGGGGGGAGGGGAGCTTGGAGAACTGACTAATTATGGTTGCTCAAGGATTTTATGATCTTCAGATAGAAAAAAATACAGTAATTGTAAAATATTTTACTCTTTTCACAAAGATAAATCTTAGAGATAATCTGTATTTAAACAGAATTAAAAGTTCTCTCCAACATATTTTTAATATAAATTAAGATACTTCATTATAACCTAAATAGTTTTATTGTTTTGAATCAAAAATTGTACTTGAAAAGACTATTTCATGTCTTAGTAGTGTTTGACTCTCTGTATTTATGTGTTATACTACCTGAGAATAAAGAAAAAGAACATTTTCTAATGAACATTTCCTCTCCCTTTATTTTTCAAGTTCTTTTTTCTAAATAATGGAAGAAAAGTCCTTTCCCCCATCAAATCAAACAGGCTCCCTCTGTGAATGAACACTGAACACAATTTAATAACTATGGTTTGGCTTTTTAAAGTATATAGAACATTTCTATTTTATAGAGGTTAATTTTTAATAATCTATTATTCTACTTTTCATGAAGAATCATGAAAGAACAAAGAAAATAAGATTTAAACTCTTGCCATATAATAATATCACTGAAAAGAGTTAACAAAAGTATTAGTAATTTAAATGATCTTAAGCAAAGTATAATTGGGATAAAGGGAATCTCTTTTAATACGAAATTCTATATACGTCAAACTATAAAAATTCAATAGCTTTACAACCTGGGTGACATCTAATAATCTGTATGACTGAATTTCATAGTTACTTCTTTCTTGTTTTAGATTCAAATTCCTGAATAACTTTTCAGCTTAGAATCAGCTTAATTACTATCAGAGGTAGAGATAGTTTCTACACCTGCTAACAAGTAAGGATTTCAAAAAGCAACACTCAAGTATAAAAGCTTAAAACACAGGCACTTTTCTTTGTTATGGCTGATTATTATAAGAAAAAGTACCCTAAATTATTTGTGAACAATGTACAATATACATTTAAATAACACTTAGTGTATACCCTACCATTGTAGTAATCACAATTATGTAATATTGTTTAACTTGTTTTCATAGAGCCATTTACAGTTCTGACCTATGTTTATTGCAAACCATTACGAAGGTTGGCAAACAGTTCTAACAGGTTTAACACTGAGGGTTTTTTAAAAACGATTTGACAGGTGTCATTGAGGAGACTTTGGGGAGAATCGGAGTCAATGATGACCACTTTTGAGTCTCGATACAGGTTGATCTGCTTTAATTGTTCCTTTTATGCACTGCTGAACGGGCTTGCAGCAATTTCAGCTCCCCCCTTCCCCATTCTTCTTCCGACCCAGAATGAAGATAATCTTTTTAGCTTTGAGGATGTACTCTCTCAACGGCAATGATGTTGAGCAATGCCTATTTCAAAATGCATGAGCCAACTCTTATTTGGAATGAATTATTCATTCTTTGATTTCTCAACATTGTTGCTTCAGTGGCTTCAATCTCAGTCAAATTGAGAAGTTCATAGCTGAATTTGAAACAGAATCGACAAAAGTCAGGTCTTCCTATTTAATCTCTAAGTTCTATACCTGGCTTTTCTGGAGAAGGTTGAAGTCATTCTAAAGCATTGATTTCTTTTCCTTTTTAAGGCCATCAAAAAGGACTTTTAAATGTTACATAGTACTTAAGATTACAAATAAATAAGCCTCTTCTCAGCAGAGGCCAAACACATTGGCACTTGCCTTCAGATCAATTCATCAACCAAGCAGAAGAGATTTTATTACTTTGTAGTTTGCACCCTGTTCAGAGGGTCCACTCCCATTCTCTCCTTCCCTATCCTTTACACCTCTGTTCCTTCTCCTCCCTACCCTTCTAATGCAGAAAGCTAGCACCTCTGGAAACCTCTGGAGAATGAAAGAGCTGACTTGGCCCTCCGACAGAACTGGTGTAGCAGGGGTGGGGTGTGTTACAGGGACCCTGAAGTATAGAACAGGAAGGCAAGTGTCTGATATCAGTGTGTTTGCTTGATGTGTCTACCCTAGTGCCATTAAGTAATAACATGGTTATATCTGGCTGAGCACCCTAAATGTAAAAGTCTGTAAGGTAAAGTGCCATATGTCAAGAACTGCCTGTATGTGCATTTACATTGACATAAGTGCATTTCCATAATGCTGCAGGCAGCTCCGACTAACAGCACATCATCTTGCTTACTTACACACAGGTGGTTCTGCGTGCTACTGACATGCAGAGAACTGACTATGATGCTACATGAAAATAGCTTGAAGAATATGAAATTCAAGGCTGATTTGAGATGCATGATGCATGAATATACAATTAAGTTCATTAGCACAGCAAAAGCTTTAAGTACTCCATCCTAAACAGAGCTTATTATTCTTATAAGGTAATGAACTGTCATTTGGTAGCAGCATCTAGCAAGAAACTTTAGAAAAAAATTTTTTCTTACTTTCTCTATTTTAAGAATTTGGCAGGTGTTGATGAAACTTGAAACAGTCAAGGTAAATCCCCAAAGGAAAGACTTACTTCTGGAGTCACTGTGTGGCTCTGCAGTGAAAGCAAAGTGTGAGTTGTTCTCTTTAATGAGTAGTAAGCAGCAGTGTATTTGCTTTGAAAAGAGATGCTACTGAAAATGGAATAGTGAAACGCAAAGGAGTTAATTGCCCCTGTGAAACGTGGAGATACTTACTTCCTACAGGTTGCTAGAATACAAATGTAACTATCAGTATTCATTACTTAGATCAACTTGTTTCCAAAGCAACTTTGACAGTTATAAATAAAACTAAAAAATGTTCAGTTAGGAAAATGGAAAAAAAGATAAAAATAAATGGAATTTAAATTGCTTTAGAAACCATTAATCTACACAGAAATTTATGGGGGAAAAAGAACTGGGCATCTTGTTTAAAGACTTTATGTATTAAAATATTTCATTTCTAAGTGTCATGTCCAAGTTTACATTAAATATAAAATCAAACCTGAGTGGCCCACACATAGAGGAACAAATAAATTTTTTGGCAAGTGCTTACTATTTTTAGCATATTATCATGTATACAAAACGAGCAGAACTAATCCTATAATAAATCATTTTTTTAGATACTGCAGAGAAACTTTCAGAACAAGCATTGAAAGTCAGCTTCTCAATTACAATGTCACAAAATGTGGCAAAAATGTCTGCCCCAGAATTTGCTGATTTTGTAGAACCTGATTTTAGGGAAAGAACTGAAGAGAAAACAAATTCAGAACTAGAAGGGCAATTACCTAAAATATCTGTACTGTGAATTGAAGAATTCTTACTACTTTTGGTCTGCAAAAACAAGAGTATCTAAAGACACAGAATAACATTTTTCTGACATAAGTCCCTACATCAGAGTAGGAAAATGCTCCCACCAATTCTGTAAGAAACACCAAGCAATATTACCTTTGGCTACATCCTTGGCCCAAGTCATAATGTGATCCATATCCATCTCTTCACTCCTGTTACTGTTGATATAGTCATAGAGTGATCCCAGAGAAGCATATTCTATTTCCAAAGGAAAGATAGGCACATAATTAAAACCAAAGTACATTTCAGCAATTAGACTTCACATTTTCATCAAGAAAATATGTTTTGACATATCAACAAAAAACATCAAATTATATAAAATTGTTAAATGCTATGGTTTCTAAAGGTTAATAATATTTTAGAAGAAAAATTTGTCAAAGACAAGATCACTGACATAGAATGAATAATTATCTTTAATCCAGAACCAGAAGCCATTTATCTGGAACTCAGAAACACAAAGAGGTATTGGAAAAGTATATTTGAAACAAAGGTATGTATACAAATACTTATTTAAAAGCTGTTATTCTTATGACATGGGTAATATTTTTTTTCCAAACTGAGAAGTAAAGATAAAAAAGAATAAAGAAAAGTTAACAACCTTAGATACCTGTAGAGCACCGTCAGGTATACCAATACATACATAATGGAGCCCAAGAAAGCAAAAGACAGAAAGACACTGAAAGAATCTTTGAAGAAGTGACTGACAAGAACTCCCCAAATCTGATGTAAAATCTTTTTTTAAAAATTAATTTTATTGGTACATTTTAGGTATATAACCATATACATCACTGGAAATCTGCACCTTTACATAATCTCTCTTGGTTCTTATTTTTTCCCCATTCCCCTGCCCTCCCTTCAACCCCTCCACCCCTCCCTATTTACAGAGACTTGGTTTCCAGTTTTTCATTTTCTCATATTAATTCCATTCCCTTCTTTCTTCTCCCCTACCCCTCCCACTTCCCCTTCCCCTTTGCCCCTTTTCTTCCTATTTCACATTACATATTATACCTTTTAGTCCTTATTTACACTTTCAGTTTCTCACACTAGACAAACTATTCAGTATTTACACGTGTGTCCTATTTATTTCACTTAAGAGTACTGCCTCAATGTGCACTGGCGCTGGCCATGGTCACAATCTTGCTGCTTGACACAGATCCAGTGAAACCGAAACTATGGCTGAAACCACGACTCCATCTTTTGCTTTCTGCGGTAGTAATTACCTCGGTGATGTACTCCCCGGGAAATCACTGAAAGGATAGAAGTCATTACTTCAGAAATGGTTACTAGGCCGGGATTACAGGAAGAAATTGTAAATCCATTTACAGAAAAGCCCCTCACTCATACCTCCATGAGCAGTGGGGACGTGACATCCATATGCCCTGACTGTACAGAGGGAGATTGGGACATCAACAAATTCATGACGCAGGCGCCCCACTGTCTGGCACCTGGTCATCCTTGGCCAACACCCGCAGGGCACACAACAGTGAGATCCCATGAAACTTGGCCTAATGAAGTAGCCTGATCTTTTAAAAATGCTTCCTGTTCCTCAAATGCAAATCTGATAAATTAGCAAGAGTTCACATAGAACCCGGAAGAGTATTTAGAGCTGGGTGGTCTAAAATAGTTTCTTAGATAATATCAGCTTGCTCTTTAACTCTGTATGAAAACACACTGTGTATGGACCCATGTGCTTACCAAAGCCTTGTGTAATCAAAACATATATAAGTAAAGTGATTTCGGTATAACTCAGACAGGCAAGCTGAGCTGCCGACCCTCCACTCAGTGTCTGTCTCATTCTCTCGTCGCCGACTCCACACCTCCTTGCAGGACCTGAACCCGCTGGAGCTGGACTCTGGCAGTGCATCCATTTAGCTATGTTTCTAATTTCTCATTTTTTATGGCTGAGTAATACTCCATTCTATCAAAAAACCACATTTTCTTTATCCAGCCTCCAGCTGATGGGCAATTGGGTTGCTTCCAAGTTTTAGCTATTACAAACTGTGCTGCTATGAACATGGGTGCACATAAATCACTATGGTATGATTCTTTTAATTCTTTGGGGAAGATCCCCAGCAGTGGAATAGCTGGGTCAAATGGGACTTCCAGTCCTAGTTCTTTGAGGTATCTCCATACTGATTTCCACAGTGCTTGCAACAGTCTACACTCCTACCAGCAGTGGAGCAGGGTTCCTCTTTCCCCACAGCCCTGCCAGCATATGTTATTGGTCAATTTCATGATAGCAGCCCTTCTTTCTGGAGTGAGGTGGAATCTCAGCATTGTTTTCATTTGCATCTCTCGAATGACCAGTGATGTTGAACATTTTTTCATGTTTATTTGCTATTTCTACTTCTTTGTCTGAGAAATATCTGTTCATTTCAGATGCCCATTTTTGGATTAGGTCTTTAAATTTGGGAGATTTGATTTTGTAAGTTCTTTACAGATTCTAAATAGCAGACCTTTGTCTGAGGAACAGCAGGTGAAAATTTTTTCCCACATTGTGGGTTGTCTCTTCACACTGTTGGTGGTTTCTCTTGTTGTGCAGAAGCTTTTTAATAAGAAGAGATGCCATTTGTTGATTGTTTGTGCTAGTTCATGGGCAACTGAGGTTTTGTTCATAAAATCTTTTCCTACACCAATGTCTTCAAGAGTTCTTCCTAAACTCTCTTCCAGCCAGTTCAGCGTTTCTGTTTTAATATTTAGATCTTTAATCCATTTAGATTTTAGTTTAGTGCATGGTGAGAGATATAGGTCTAGTTTTAATCTTTGGAAAGTTGAAACCCAGTTTTCCCAGCACCATTTATTAAAGAGGCTATCTTTCCTCCAGTGAGGGTGTTTGGCTCCTTTGTCAAAGATGAGGTGGTTGTGTCTGGAGTTGTTTCTGCATCTTCTAATCTATTCCATTGGTCCTCAGCTCTGTTTCTTTACCAGTACCAAGCTGTTTTTATCACAGTAGCTTTGTAGTATAGTTTCAAGATGGGGGTTGTGATACCCCCTGCCAATGACATAGATAATACTAAACACATAAATCAGAGAACTTATGAGACATTCTCAACAAATCAATCCTTGTTGCATCAGGATTTAGAAGAGCTTTCAAAATTTGAGCACAAAAACATCAAGAAAGTGATAGCTTTTACTGCACAAAATAAAATGGCCATATCGAAGTATAAATTATACACTATAAAGTCACTGGCGATAGTTTGATGAATTTTAGTAAATTCAGAGTTGACTGACCATCATCACAATCCAAATAGTTCCCCAATGTCACTTTAGAATTGCCAAGTCATATGGTAAGTTTGTATTTAACATGTATAAGACTATCAAACTGTTTTCCAAAGAGGATTTTATTGTAGCCATTCTAGTGTTTAATTCTAGTGGTATCTCGTTTTTAATCTGCATTTCCCTAGTAACTAATAAAGTCGAACATCTTTTACTATTACCCCTTTATATATGTTATTAAGCAAAATGTCTATTCAAATCTTCTTCCCATGTAAACTAGGTTGTTTTATTGAATTCTAGGAGTTCTTTTTTCTACATGTAAGTCTTTTATTGGGTATATGATTTGCAAAGTTTTTTCTCCCAATCTGTCACTGGTCTTTTTATTCTCTTAAGAGTATCATTTTTCAAAAAACAGAAATTTCTAGTTTTTATGAATCCCAATTTATTGATTTTTCTTTTGTGGGTCTTCACTGTGTATCATATTTAAGACTGACTAACCCAAAGCCATGAAGATTCTATTTCATTTTTCTTCTAAAAGGTTTAGAATTTATTATGTCTATGATCCATTTTGACTTAGTTTTGTATGTGGTATGAAATTAGGGTCTAAGTTATGTTTTTGTATGTGGTTCTCTAATTGTCTCAGTATTGTATAATTTGGTAAATTATCTTGGTACCTTATCTGAGAACCAACTCATGAACAATGTGAGGTTTTTCCCCCTACCTTCTTACTTTTGTTCCATTATTTATTATGCCTTTAGATATTACACAGATATCACCCTATATTAATTACTGCACATTTATAATAAGTTTTGAAATAAAACAGTCTAAGTCTTCAAACTTAGTGCTTCTCAAATACTGGTTTGGTTATTTCAAGGTCTTTTGCATTTTTGTGTAAATTTTAAGATCAGTCTGTCAATTTCCATTTAAAAAGTCTACAGATATTCAGAGAGGAATTGTGTTGAATTTATCGATCTTTGGGGAGAAGTCCATCTTGACAATACTGAATCTTCCAAACCATGAGCATGTAATGCTTCTTCTATTTATTGAGATCTTTAATTTCTCACAATAGTATTTTCTACTTTTCAATGGACAAGTCTTACACTTAGTTAACTTTATACTCAATGATTTCATTCTTTTTGAAACTATGAATGGAATTGTTTCTTACTATTTTTTAGGTTAATTTCCAGCATATAGAAATAGAAATGATTTTTGTATTGTGACCTTGGATCCTTGTGACCTTGCTAAACACGTTTGTTAGTCTTAGTAATTTTTTTGTGAATTTCTCAGGATTTTTTACATATAGGAGTACAGAATGTTATTTAAAAAGTTTTACTTCTTTCTTTACAATCTGGATGCCTTTTATTTCTTTTTTCTGCCGGACTGGACTAAAATCTTTAGGGCAATATTGAAGACATTGTGATTGGAACCTCCTTGTCATATTTTCAGTCTTGGGGAAAACATGAAACTTGTCACCATTAAGTATGATTTAATTGATTTATTTATTTGAGACAGGGTGTAGATCTCAAACTTGCAGCAATCTTCCTGCCTCAGCCTCCCAAGTGCTGGGATTACAGGTGTGTGCCGCCACGCTTGGCTGAAGTATGATTTTAGATGTAGATCTTTGTAAATGCTATTTAGCAAGCTGAGAAAAAGCTCTTCTATTCCTGGTCTGTTGAGAATTTTCATTGTCAATGGGTGTTGTAGTCTGCCAAATTCTTTCTCAGCATCTTAAAATAGTCATATAAAATTTTTGTCTTTTATTCTATTATCTGTTATGGTGCCTTACATTAACTGATTTCAGATGTTGAATGAGCCTTGCAATTCCAGGTAATATTCCATTAGGTCATGGTGGGCTTTTCTTTATGGATATATTTAAAATTACAAATTCAAAAATCTTTTTCTTATAGGTCTATTCAGCTTTTATTTTTTAAAGTCAGTTTTGATAACTTACATTATTTTAGGAATTTGTTCACTGCATCTAA